CTAGGGGATCTTGAAGCAAAGTATCACCCATGTTGTTGGAAAGGCTTCTTGCTCAGGTACAAGTCTGGCTTGTCTCTGAGGTCCCTTCTAATACTGAGAGGGTGTCATAACTTGGGAGGTGTTCCCAAGCAATATAGGGGAATGAACAGAAGAAAGGTAAAGAGAAGAAAGTGGTGAGAGACGGATACAAGAAGAGTTGCTAGAGTCAGAAGAAAAAAAAGAGTCCAAAAAGTGATATTTTTGCCATAGTAACATAAAAGATGTAAGTGGAATTTAAGTACAAAAAAGCGCTTTTGATCTTCAATTTCTATAATGATCCTAGGAAAAAAGAATGATTTGTGACCTAGAAAGTCACAGAATTCTGCTTAAAAGGAATAATGAAGGCATATAGCTTTTAAATTAAGAATCAAAATGTTAATGTTTTAATGCAAAGGAAAAAATGCAGTTGTTTTCAGTTCGAGCTGAATCTTAGGCCAAACTAAAGAAGCTTCTGTATTTAGAACTGGTTTGACTGACTTTACAAAGAAGTATGACATATAGTGGATAGAGAGCTAGTAGCCTCAGGACCCAGAAGACCTGAGTTCAAGTGCTGCCTCTGACCTATAATGACTTGTGTGACTAGGCAAGTTACTTAAAGTGTACAGGCAATGAAGACTCTAAGTTGCAAAAAAGGTACCAATCATCACTGATATGGGAGAAGAGAAGGAAATGAGCATTTATGTAGGACCCACTACATGTCAGGCACTGTGTTAATACTTTATCTCATTTGATCTAAACAAGAACCCTGTAAAGTAGGTGCTATTCTTATCTCCATTTTCCAGGCAAAAAAAATGAGGCAGAGAGATGAAATGACTTGCCTGGAGTCCCATAGCCAGTGTTTGTCTGAGGTCAGATTTGAACTCATGTCTTCCTTACTCTAGGCCCAGCATTCTATGTACTGTGCCACCAGCTGCCTCTATATACAGAGAGTTTCCTCATCTGGGAGTTTCCTTTAACAATTTAATTTCAGATCTAGTCCCTATCCCAATCCCCTTGACTGACTTCATTAAGGGAAAAATTCCTCAATTAAAATAACTGAATACAGGCAACATGGCAGCATGACAAGAATGTTGCACTTATAGTCAGGAAACACAAGTTCAAATCCTAACTGACACTTACTAGGTGTGTATGACCTTGGCAAATTTTTGTTGGGGTTTGGCTGAAGTGACCTCGAAGACCCCTTCAAGATCTAAATCTATGATCTCTGCATTTAAGCAATCTGATCCTCAGTTTTCTCATCTGGAAAATGAGGTTAAAATGCTTACAATACCTCCTTCACAGGGCTATTGTGCAGAAAGCATTAGATAAATATTAAAATGCCATATGTAATGACCATCATGATGCCAGATAAACATTTAACCATTTAACCATTTTCTCTCATTTTTCAACAACCAAAATATGATCTAACTCCATTAGTTTAGACCAGAGGTCAGGAAGGTATAAGCCTAGAGCCAAATCTAGACCCCCTACCCATTTTTCATAGAAGCCACTAGCTAAGAATGCTTTTTAGGTCCTAAAGCAAGAGTTTATCAACTCCTGGTTTAGGTTACAAGTTTCATGAAGGATGTGACTGTGTCTTATCTAAATTTTGTATCTTTCTCCCCCTGTCCCCCTCCCCAACACAGTGTTCAACACACAGCAGGAACTTAATAATTGTCGGATAAATGAATGAATGAATGAATGAGTTGTAGTTACACAGCTTTCCCTTTTATATGTGTAGGTAGGTGGAAGGAGAATGATGACTTCCCTGAATGCAAAAGGGTGTCTATAAGACCCTTCTTCATATTCTCTTTCACAGTATCTCCTACAAGGAAGCCAACTCAGCCCTCGAGACAAACCCTCAAGGAGTTTACATTTTATAGGATATGACCACATGTAAATATAATTATATTCAAAATGAATACAAGGTAATTTCAAGGGAGGAAGCTCCCACAGCTGTGGGAAGAGGAATCCTCATTGAGAAGGTGGCATTTGAGCTGAGTTTTGAAGAAAATTATGGATTCTGAATGGCAGAGATGAGAAGGCAATACATAGTAGTTAATGGGGGACAGACAGGCTTAGGGAACACACATAAATAGGATGTTGAATGACATGTATAACATGTAAATTGCAGAAGTGGGGTCTGTTTCTTCCTCAAACTTAAGCTGTAATTTAGGTATGATGAGAGACATATGAGATAATCTCTGGATACTAAGATATCATTGGAAGCTTATTTCATTAACAAATGCACACGATAAGAAGGAAATAGCACTGTCAAACAAATATTAAATCACCGTGTTAAGAGGATTTACCCACAGCAATTATAAATATGATATCCTAAATTTGAGGCAGATTGTGACCACTAGACTTAAGATCGTGTAATCATGTCACAGGTTCTTAGTTTTCTCATCAGTAAAATGATGGGACTGGATTAAAGAATCTTGAAGGATTCTTCTTCTGGGTATAACATTCAAAAGCTCTATGATGCTATAGGTAGCACTCTGCACCTCTCTTGTTACCCACTTCACCTCCTCTCTGCAGCTATGCCCTTTTTCCCTCCCCCTTTTTTTCTCTCTTCCCTTCACGGGATCATAGAGTTAGAGGTGAAACGGACTTTAGGCATTATCAAATCCAACTTCCTCATTGCACAGATGAGGAAAATGAGGACAAGAAATGTTTTACCAAGCAACTGATGAAACATTTGAACCCAGGTCCTCTGACTCCAAAGTAAATCTTCTTTCTACCACACAGTGATTCCTCTCATATACTGCCTTCGTAAAGAACTATTCTTAGCAGGTATGAGAGTAGCATTCAAGGCTTAACCCTATCCTACCCAAGATTTTCTTTACTTTTCTCCATCCAATGGGCGACTCTGAAGAGCTGACCATGCAGCCAACTCACTCTTTCTCTCTCTCTCCTTTTTCCTCTCCCTCTTTCTCCCTCGCCCTCTTTCTCTCTGTCTCTCTGTTTCTCTCTCTGTCTCTGTATGTATATCTCTCTGGCTCTCTCTCCATGCCCCAGAGTCAAAGTGAGGCATTTCATTTTAATCTCATGCCTGTCAGTTGAGTCCCAGGCATTGCTTGGCTCCATAAGTGTCAGTCAGGATTAAAAGTACCACTCATCCCTGCAATGGATACTACCTTAGCAGGGTCAGGAGAAAGCTAAGGAACAACCACTATTATACTATAATAAAAGAGTCAGACACAACTTTGCAGAACAGGTAAGAGGCCAGGCCTTGGAATTAGAAAGTGTCCTGATTCTGACACACTGGCTGTGTGACCCTGGACAAGTCACACAGTGTCCCACGGAGAAATCTAGGATTGATAAATTAAGGAACAGTTATTGATCTGTATTGGTAAAGGGAGTTTTGTAGACCAATGAAAGAGGTCCAGGTGAAGAAGAAGAGGAGGAAGAAGAAGGAGGAGGAGGAGGAGAAAGAAGAGAAGAAGAAAAAGAAGAAGAAGAAGAAATCAGAGTTACAGAGGAAGACAATTTATCCTGTCTATGTCTTGTTTGCACATAGTTATTTGAATGCTGTCTCACCTATTATGATTGTAGTTCCTTGAAGGTGGGGAATGTTTTTGCCTTTCTTTGTATCCCAAGTTCTTAGCACAGTGCCTGGCATAGTAAGTGCTTAATAAATGCTTATTGATTGACTGAGATCTTGATCTCAGAACTTTAGTCTTATACTTATGAATGTTTGTCTCTCTTCCTCACATTTCTGTATTGACTTTAATTAGTAAGTGTGCCTCCAAATTCAACAATTCATAATAAGCACAGTAAATAATGGAAAAGTAAATAACTCTAGGATAGCCTCAACTTTTGTATTTCCTCCATTTTGAGACTTAAAGTAATACATTAATTTAATTTTCTGTGGTTGTTCTGTTTGTTTATTTGGATAGTAAGAAATCAGCATGAAGAATGTTGAAAGGATGGCCAGAGTTCTTGGACAAGCAGGCCAAGTCTGAATTGTCATTGGAAACTGTACAAAGAAGTTTCTCAAAGGTTGACCACAGTGACTAGATCAATAACTCCATCATTTACCCATCTGGGTGCTTTAAAGGGCACAGTGGTGAAAATAGTAGACAGCAGACCTAGTCAAGATACAGTCCCTGAAAGTCCTGAAAGAAACCCTAGAAAATAAATCAAGAATATGCCAAATGAAAAATCTGCTTCTATTTCTATTTGAAATGCTCTGAAGTTTCCATTCTATTGGGCAAATGTTTACTGACCACCAACAATGAACCAGGCACTGTGCTCAGCCCAAAGACAAAAATGAAACATTCTTTGCCCTCAAAGACTTTCCATTCTACTGGAGAAGTAAACATCTATACAGATTTTTAAATACAAACTATATATAAAGTGATATAAAATAATCCCAAAGAAAACCTTAACAACTGCAGTGAGGGGTAGATTAGGAAATACCTCTGATATGGAAACTACACTTTGAAGGAAGTAAAGGATTCTATCAGGCAGGAATGAGAAGGGAGAGAAATCTAGATTTGAGGATAGACCTGTGCAGGGTCAAGGAGGAACAGAGTCTGAGGATCAATCACAAATTTGTTTGCATTGCTACTCTCTTACCTTCAAGGTCCCATAAACTGCCACTGACTAAAGATTTCAAAACTATTTGCATAAACAAACTGTTTGCATAAACAAACACTGATGCTCTTTAGTAATGGGCTTTATTATTCTGCCCATCACTTTTAAAAGAAGTAAAATTTTATTATCGCAGACACGCAGGATATAGAATTAGGCACTGCTGAGAAAAGAGGAAAAACACCTTTTGTTTCTCTGACTTATCAGCCACGTTCCTATCTAACCACTCAAAATCAGTTCCCCTTGATTTTTACCAGCCATGTTTGATATCAATGTGGTACATCTGGAAGATTTTACATTAGCACACCAAAGTCATCACAACAAAATGGCGATGTAGCCTAGAGCTGGAGCGGAGCTGGAGTGGGGGTAGGGCTGGGGGTTACCTGTATGATGGGCTTTCATCACGATGAAGAGGGTGGGAGCATCACCAGTGAATTCTTTCTCCCTGGAAGGTCTTTTCAGGCAGATGCTGCTTGAGTACAAAGCAGTGGCAGAAGGGAAATTCAATAAATATTGACTGCCCAAGTCTGTAAAATACAACGACAAAAGAAAAAAAGTGAATTACAAAGCTAAAATAAAATTCATTACACTTAGCTTGCAGGTTTTAGCTGGACTCTGACTCTCTCTCTCTCTTCCTTCCCCCATCTTTCTCTTTCCCTCTCATCAGAGTAGGAAGGTGATTCCAGTTTCTCAGAGGATATTCCAAAGGAACATAGCTCTCTCACAGCTTTCATCAAACTGGAAAGCCTATATGTCTGTCATTTAAGGCCCATTGTAGAGAAGTTCAGGGAGGCTTATGACCAGGTTGGCTACAGGATGATGAACTTTTCAGATACAACAACTCTCCAAAACCATCTACTAAGCCATAGGCTCAAGCTGAGACTCATATCACAGGCAGGAGTCTCCACACTCAATGTAACTGAGATTCTTGACCTACTGGAGAAGAATTAAAAATCACTATAATCACTTGTGATTATAAATCACAAGAAACCTCTTAAAATAATGCTTTAAGTAAAATAATTCCATATAACAAATTTTTAAAAAGATCTTATTAATGTGGGCAGCTCAATGGCATAGTGGATAGAGTGCCAGGACTGGAGTCAGGAAGACCTGAGTTCAAATCCAGCCTCAAACATTTACTAGCTGTGTGACCCTGGGCAAGTCACTTAAATCTGCTGGCCTCTGTTTCCTCATCTGTAAAATGAGCTGGAGAAGGAAATGGCAAACCCACTCCAGTATCTTTGCCAAGAAAACCTCAAATGGGGTCAGGAAGAGTTGGCCATGACTGAACAACAACAAAGAACAAAAATAAAGGATGGAGTGGCAGCCACAAGGCTTCAGATAAGATTAAACTCTATCCCACTAAAGTTGAAGGCCAAATCCTTGTTTCAGGAATTCACAAAACCTGCGAAGGCATGAAAGAATAAGTAATGAAGTACTGACTGTCCAAAATCTTTCTGCCAAAATCCAAATGCCAGAAATGAGTTATTATAATTCAAGTTTCATGAGCTTTTAGCCCAAATAATTGTAAAAGTTTGCCATATATTGTTTTTGTTGCCAGGCAAAGAGAACAGAGGTCAATGTTCGTCAGTTACCAGTGATTGCTGGCCACAATAGTGCAACTCTATAAATGTCACTCAGTTATTTGTCTAATTAATAGTCCATAAAACTTTATGAATTAATTGTAAACTTGGGTCTTTTTGACTCTATGTCTGATACTTTAACTGATACACCATTTTTTGTTTGTTTTGTTTAGTTATTAGTCGTGTCTGACTCTTCATGACCCCTTTTGGGGTTTTTCTTGGCAAATATACTGGAGTGGGTTTGCCATTTCTTTCTCCAGCTCATTTGATAGATGAAGAAATTGAGGCAAGCAGGGTTAAGTGACTTGCCCAGGGTCACACAGCTAGTAAGTGTCTGAGGCCAGATCTGAACTCAGGTCCTCCTGATTCCAGGGCTGGTGCTCTATCCACTGTACCATCTAGCTGCCCCCAGTATACCACATAGAATGTTAAATATGGATAGATACATACATATGCATACAATGTATATGAAGAGATTTTTTTATGACTTCAGTAATAATTTCTTAGATTTTAAAATTGTGTTAGGACCAATTATTATTATCAAGATGTTTTACTGATTTATTAATCTTTCTTTTTCTCCTTTTTTGAGCCATGGTTACAAAACTAATGCCACTTTTTCTTTCTCCTTTCTATAGTTTGTTTCATTTTACTTAAGAAGGCAGCCAGGTGCTTTCAAATATGACATTAGATACTTACTGGGCAAGTCACTTAAGTGCTACCTGCCTCAGTTTCCTTATCAGAAAAAAGAGGAAAATAATAGCTCCCATTTTCCAAGGCTGTTATGAGGACAAAATGAGATGATATCTGTGAAGTGCTTTTCAAACCTTAAAGTGCTATACAGAAAAGACCCGAGTTAAAATTCTGCTTTAAACACTTAGACATGTGACTCAGGAAGGCTGCTTAACTGCTCTCAGCCACAATTTCCTCATCTGTAAAATGGGAGTAATAATAGCACCTTCCTGTCAGAGTTGTGGAGATCAAATGTAAAGAAGATCAATATGTAAAGAGTTTTATAAACTTTAAAGTGCTATGTAAAATAATGCTAGTTGTTATTTATAATAACAATTATCATTATTATTATCAAGACTCCTCTATACCTACTTGCTCAATTATAAAACTCAAGGTAAGCAATTTTTCATCTAGTTCATTAATACCTTTTTTTATGGATTTGGTAGAGTGACAGGAGAAAACAAGCTATGTAAGAACAAATTCAAGACCCTAGCTAGATCATTACCAGACCTTTAAATTGTAACATGGCCTTATACAGTAGTCATATTTATTTTGCAATGTAATATATTTTGCCTACATCACATCCCCACTTTCACACCTCATGGCATGACATGAAGATGCCCCATGTTCTAGGAGTCAACGCCGAAGAACATAAATTCCCCTAAGTTCTCCTAAGTTAGAATGGCTTTGAGGACAGGCCCATGGGTCTGGTGTCTAGAGATCAGACTAGTTCAGAGCAGATAAGCTCATCACAAGAAGTTTGCCCACCAAGTGGTGAAATGTTTTCTGCCACAATTTGTATGTGGAGGCCACTCCTAAGGTAAGGATTGTATCAGTAGAGGGATTATGCACATCTGGAAATCAGATATGCTTGAAGTATAAAATACTGAAAATCCAAAGGTATGCTCACTCATATTAACAAATAAAGAAAAACAGAAACTGCAGAAATGTTTACAAAGAAAAACTCTAAACCTGAACAAAAAATCCCCACAAAGATTTACCAATAATTCCATCAGGATAACACTTATGCTGGTGCAAAAAATTAGATCAACTTTAAGAATAGTACACAAGGCCTGACAGCACTAGGGCTGTGATGGCCAATCGTCAGAGAAAGCAATAAAAATATAATTATTTCTATTTTAATGGCATGAAACTCAGCATTTTAACTTCCAGATGTCAGATTACATAAAAAAATGTTAAAATTACTTTTTAAAACAATCATGTTGTATAATTTCCTTCTAAAAACACATTCTAACATCAAGTCACAGACAGGTCTCTGGATGTGTCTCAGGACGAAAAAATGTATTTAACTATATGCACATACACATCTTGTTTCTGATAAGTAGAGTTCCCCTTTTATTTTTTTCAGATTAGTTTAACAAAACTACTCAATATTAAAGCTGGAAGGTGGCAGCTAGGTGGTACAGTGGATAGAGTGCTGGGCCCATAGACAGAAAGAGTTCAAATCCCAATACTTGGCTGTATGACTCTGGGCAAGTCATTTAAACTGTCTGTCTCAGTTTCCTCAACTGTAAAATGGGGGTAATGATTTGAACCTACCTCCTAGAACTGTTGTGAAGATCAAATGATATCCTATTTGTAAAGCACCAGTGCTTGGCACATGATAGGTGCTTGTTTCCTTCCTTTCATTTAGTATAGCCCACTTATTTTACAGATGAAGACACTGTAAACTGAGGCACAGGGAAGTGAATGTCTAAGTCAACACTAGAACTCAGCTCTCCCAGTCAATGCTCAGCTACTACTCTATGCTGCCTCCTCCATCACATCGCTGTTTCAAGATACAGTATGTATCCAATGCTATTTGTATACACACATTATTCTTACTAGCAGATGAAAAATAAGCATAGATCCATGGGTCAATTCCCTCTACCCTTACAATATTTCCCAGTGTCTTAGTGACAATTAATCTGCCAGTAGAGAGCATCAGTGTTTTAAATAATTACAGAACCCATGGCATGACTCATATTTTCCATTTTATCACAACTTTTACTTCCAAAGGCTCAATTTTTTATATACTTACTTAACTGTGTGACTCTGAGTCTCAGTTTCCTCACCTGTAAAATGGGAATAAGAATAGCACTTACTTCCAAAGTTGTGAGGACCAAATGAGATATTTGCAAAGTGTTTAGCACAGTGCTTGGCACACAGTAAGAGCTTAATCAATGTATGTTTCCTTCCTTCCAGTAGATTTCAAAGTCTTACCTGGCAGAGTCCTAAATTGGCTGCCACTTCTAAACCATGTCTCTATTCTCCCTCTTTCAGTAGTATCCCTTAACTTTAACTACTTAAGGATTTTCTTCCAGCATATCTTTATCATCATCCCCCCACCCTATTTCACATCCCCTTGTGATTGCAAAGCCTTAGATAAATTAAAAGTTCTCTTCACAAAAAGATTGTGGACTCCTTATTTTATGACAAGACTTACTCATAGGAGTTTGGCCAAGGGCAAACTCTGGGCTACCCTTTCATTTTTTCACAGATGAACCATTGTAAGAGGCAAGAGATCCATTTTCTTCTCTTAAGCTGTTACTGTTTTCTTTCTATATGACACAGAAAAACCTTTAAACCTGGCACAGAGTGACGAATATAAATAAAGGCATTTCCTATGTCCTAGAGTGTGAATATGGATACTCACCATTATTCTCACCACCAGCCATATGGTAAATATGAGGGGGCTTTTTTCTTAAACCTATTTTTGATTTTGAATGGACAAAACACTACAAGAGGGCAGGAAGTCTAGAATGAGAGCAAAACAGTAAGACATCTAAAAAAAGTCCACCTTGTATTTATGATGTCCATTAATTCCTGGTTATACTGGGGACCAATCCCAGGCAGTGAGGTATGGTGGAAAAAGTTATGGTCTGATATTTAGGAGACCTGGGTTCTAGTTTTAGCTCCTTTAATTATCCTATATTAGTTTTCTGATGTTAGATGAGTTAGATGAGCCTCTGTAAATTTCAGTTTTCTGATGTAGAAAATTATGGGGTAGGGGACCATGCTGGAATTTGCACACCATGAAGAGACAATTGAACACAATCAAATGACTGAATGACAACAACAACAGTGTATAATATTATTGTATAAAATATCATAAGGCCAATTTGTGATTGGAGATAAAGTTGGGAGGAAAAGAGAAAAGGAGGAGGGGGAGGAGATGGAGGGAGAGACAGAAAAAGAAAAAAAGGTGATAGAAG